CAAAATAAATACATAAAATATTTTTAAAAATTAAAAAAACAAAAGATTTTATTTTAGAGAGGGGAAGGAAGAGGGAAAGAAGAATTAATATCTAATTTTGAAGTACTGTGGAAAGTAAATGTTTTTGTTCTTTGGAATTTGAGGTTCTTTAACTAGACTGACTAACTAATACAGTTAATTTTTGTGAAGGGTTTATGGGTATTTGAAAGGAAAGTGTATTTTTTTTAAAAAACATTTTATTTATTTTTAGAGAGAGGGGAAGGGAAGGAGAAGAAGAGGGAAACATCAATCAGTTGCCTGTCATGTGTCCCCAATCACAGTCTATAACCCAGGTTTGTGCCCTGACCAAGAATTTAACTGGCAATTTTTTGGTTTGCAGGATAAGGCTCAATGCACTGATCAACATTAGTCAGGGCAAAAGGAAAGTGTATTTGGTTTTTTGATACAGTTATATTTTTAATAGATCACCTTATTAGCTGTGGTAGTCACATCCTCTGAACATCTTTATTTTGTGTGTGTATGTGGGCACATTTCTGAGACCTGTATCATTCTCACACTGGTTTGTAGATTAGTCAGTTTCTCCTTATGTTTAAATTTTTTTAATGTAATTTTAAGGAAATATTTTTTAAACTTTATTTATCTTTAAGAGGAAGGGAAGGAGAGAAGGACAGAAACATCAGTGTGTGGTTGCCTCTCGTGAGTCCCTTGCTGGGAACTGGCCTGGAACCCAGGCAGGTGCACTAACTGGGAATTGAACCGTGATCATGTGGTTCGCAGGCTCGCACTCAATACACTGAGCTACACTAGCCAGGGCGTTCAATTATACTGTTTTATGCAATGACATAATTCCTTTTTTGTCCCTTCACCCTTTTTTAATATTTTCTTTTTAGTTTTTCATTCAGCAGGGAAGGGAGGGAGAAAGAGATGGCAAGAAACATAGATGTGAGAGGGAAACTGGCTACCTCGTGCATATGCCTATCTCAGGGGACTGAACCTGCAGCCTAGGCATGTGCTCTGGCTGGGAATTGAACCAGCGACTTTTCATTGTGCTGGATGATGCCCAACCAGCTGAGCCCACTGTTGGGGATGGACTTTTTTTTCCCCTCTAATGCTTTTTGTGTGAATTTTGATTAGTTTCTTTGTATTGTATTGGTTTGCTCTGAACATTTGCTTGATACAGTGGAGTAGCATTGTCCAAGCATTTATTTTGCATACACAAATTTAACTGTGTAAGTATAGCTGATAAGTTACTTAAATAGTGCCAGTGATTTCTACCCACTGATTTGGTCAGTGAATATGTACATAATTCGGAGTAAACATAGGTATGAGAGTTGTGAATCTTATTTTCTTGGTAGGTTATTGCTTGCAGGGGTGGGGCACCTTTCATCTTGTGAGTGTAGCACCTGTTAAATGCAGTGCTGGTCTTGAAACATGGGTTTCACTTTGAAAATACCATGGTTCCTACCTGTAAGTCAAGTGCTCTGTCAGTCTTCAGTGAAGTGCTTAAGATTTTGATATGAGTACTTTTGACTAGAAGCTGATTTTATGTTGAAAAGTATCTGACTCTTCCTTATTATGGGACTCCATCGTGGCTGTTTTGCCGTTTGTTTATCTTCACTCTACTTGTATAATCTTGTTTTAGATGTATTTTTTAAAGTAAGAATATAGTTGAATTTCCTCTTGAGTCTGGAAGAGACATTTGATCTATTTCTGATTACTGACACATTTAGCTATAATTTTTAACTTTGTATTTATCATATTTTTATTTCTTTGTTTTAAAAAGATTTAAAATCTCACTTATTTTTAGAGAGCGAGGAAGGGACGGAGAAAGAGAGGGAGAGAAATACCATTGTGTGGCTGCTTCTTGTGTCCCACAATGGGGACCTGGCCCACAACCCAGGCATGTTCCCTGACCCGGAATTGAATGGGCGACCCCTTGGTTTATAGGCCAGCACTCAGTCCACTGAGCCAAACCAGCCAGGGTGTGTTACTTTGTTTTTTAACTGATTTTTTTTTCCTACTTATTTGAAGGTCATATGTTCATTTCTTTTCTTTTGGGTGGTTCAATGCATATAGACTATCACTCTGAATTAGTGAGAATCCATATCTTTTTTTACTCAAAAGGACAAAACTGCTGCTTACTTTCACTTCCTTCTCTTTCTCTTCCCTCTTCTTCTTCCCGTCTTGAAATTATCTAAGTATTTTAGTTTCAGATTGCTTCTTTTTTTTTTTTTTTTTTAAGACTTTATTTATTTTTAGAGAGAGGGGAAGGGAGGGAGAAAGAGGGAGAGAAAAATTGATCAGTTGCCTCTGTGCCCCTAACTGGGGATCCTGCCCACAACCCAGGCATGTGCTCTGACTAGGAATCAAACCAGACCTTTGGGTTTGCAGACCTGCACTCAATCCACTGAGCCACACCAGCCAGGGCAGATTACTTATTTTTCTAAAAGTTAGCATGTGTTGCTTCTTTTGCTTATTACTATTGTTCCTCATAGCTCATTTTTTAGATGCTTTTAAAAACATATTGGAGTGCATTTTACTAATTACTTCAGAGAAGCTCTTTGGGTAGTAAATGTTGAGCTCTTTTATGTGTGAAAATGTCTTTTGCACTGCCACTTGAAAGCTGGCTTATCTGGAGCTCAAAGTTTTTCAAAGTTTTTCCTTATCACTTTGAAGTTATTGCACCATTGTCTTCTGCCATCTGTGTTGTTGATGAAGTCTTAATTTTATGTGAGACTTGTTTTATGTGACTTGTTTATCTTTGTAGGAATTCACTTATTTCTTTGGAAGTTTTTAGGATTTCCTGAAATTTCAATACGGTATTTCCAAGTCTTCCCTTTCTCTACTAATTGATTGTTTAACACTTAGTGAATCTTTCAACCTGATGATTGATGTCCTTCCTATATCCCCTGTTTTCCCCCAGAAAAATTCTAGCACTCATGTAAGATGGATGTTGGACTGTGGTTCTGCATTCTGTATATCTACCTTTCCTTTATACTCAAGAGACATTTTGGGATATTTTCTCAGTTTTCCATTTTTTTTTCCTGTGCCTATTTTCTTGTTGAATGTACTTGTTAAGCTTTATTTTAGAAATCAGTTTTTCTCCTTTTTTGTAAATGTGTCTTTATTGCAGTATAATCTACATAAAATAAACTGCTTTCATTACAAGTGTACAGTTCCATACATTTTGACAGATACGTACACCTATGGTGCTTCCCCCAACCCCCACCCCAACAATCATGATTTGGGTGACTGTGGAAAGTTTTCTTTTGCCCCTGGCGGTCCTTCCTCCTTTCCTCCAGCCTGTGATCTGCTTTCTCTCAGATGCAGGAATAATTAGTTTGTACTTTCTGGTTTCATAGAAATGGAATCATATAGCATGTAGCCTTCTGTGTAAGTCTGTTTTTGAGATTCATCTATGTTAAGTATATAGTAGTTTGTCTTTTATTTGGTTTTGAACCTTGCCCCCACAAATGTGGATACAGCTCACAGACATTAATTTCTCATTTTTTAAATGGTAGCTTATTCATTTTTCAAGGATAAAATCTCATTTTACCTCTGAGATATTAGTGATTGTTAAGTCTTCTCTTTGTCCTTGCAACTCTTTCTTCATATGTTTTGCTTCTTGTTTTTGTGGTGTTGATTTCTCTTGGTGATTCTAATTTGCGAAATGATCATCTCTGGTTGGAGGATTGCTGTTTCCCTGTCCATGGATACAGTGTCTGTTTACTGGTCTGTCAGTTGGATTATAGGCGAGAGGTGGGATATATGGCCGGAGCTGGACACATTTCTTCTGGTTAATAACTGCTGCTTGGGTGCCATGCTGAGTCGGGCTCAAGTGCCTGTACTCTTGGAAATCTTTGCCTCCCTTGGCTGGAGGAAGGGAGGTGGGGAGTGAGTCTCAGTAGAGGAAAGTGACTGGCTTGTCCATGATTGTACCAGAGCTCCTGTTTCCCCATGGCAGTCACGCCATCTGTAGCTTGGATAGAACACCCCATTCTCCACCCACCCTCATAGCTACTCCCCAATTATTATAGTATTCTTCTTTTGAAGTTTCTGGACAGTTACTGCCTTTGTGAGCCTAGTTCTGCTGATAGTGTCACTTCTTGTTTCCAGAATTATTTTAGAAAATGGTATATCAATAAATGTATTATCTTTAGTCATTTCTGGGATTTAGAGTGAGAAGGGAAGACATGTATATCTATGCAGTCTATCTTGATCCAACCTCCTGAAGCCATTCCCTTGGGAAGGATCTTTTTGGTTACAGATAATAACTTTGAAACCTCTGTTCCATTGAAACGTTGGGTTTTGAGAGAAATTGAACACTGGAGCTTATATTATGTTACATGGGGTGGGGAGTTTTCCTTTACCCCTAATTTGAGTACTAAACCAGAGTTCTGAGAGCTTCCAAGATTTCTTCTGTAAGCTGAGGGGAAGGGTGGTTTTCATTTTCATTTTTTCCCAAGAAGGTTCATAGGTAGTCATTTTGTTGTTTTTATTTATTTATTTATTTATTTTTTTAAAGAGTTATTTATTTATCTTTTAGAGGGGAAGGGGAGAGGGAGAGAAATATCAATGTATGGTTGCCTCTAGTGCACCCCCTGCAGGGAACTGGCTTGCAGGGAACCTGCCTGCAACCCAGGCATGTGCCCTGACTGGGAATTGAACCGCGATCCTCTGGTTCACAGGCCCGTGCTCAATCCACTGAGCTACACCAGCCAGGTGTTGTTTTTAAATATTTCATAGTGTAGTTTGGGCATGTCTGTTGTATAAGAGTGTTGGGTTGGCTCAATATTCTGAAATTTTTCTTCTTGGTCTTGATAACTTTTTTTAAAAAGTCTGCTTCCAGATCATGCAGTTGTATTTCTTTTCCTCCAAGCCTGTTTGTTTATATAGTCCTAGGGAAACTTTAGGGTATGGAATAAGTTTCTGATCTAGTAAGTGTAAATTTAGTTTTCATGAAAAAGCTGTTTTTGACTTTTTTTTTCCTCCCCATTTAGTTTTTCCATGGTTTGGCTTGGATATTGGTGGAACACTAGTCAAGCTGGTTTATTTTGAACCCAAAGACATCACTGCTGAAGAAGAAGAGGAAGAAGTGGAAAGCCTTAAAAGCATTCGGAAGTACCTGACCTCCAATGTGGCTTATGGGTCCACGGGTATTCGGGACGTGCACCTGGAACTGAAGGACCTGACTCTGTGTGGACGCAAAGGCAATCTGCACTTTATACGCTTTCCCACTCATGACATGCCTGCTTTTATTCAAATGGGCAGAGATAAAAACTTCTCAAGTCTCCACACTGTCTTTTGTGCCACTGGAGGTGGAGCGTACAAATTTGAGCAGGATTTTCTCACAGTATGCATTTTTTTAGCTTGTATACCATTTATGATAATCTGTTAAAAATAACCAGTAGCAAGTGGTGGAATCATTTCCATCTCTAATGGAACTTAAATATTCTTGAGTCAAATTAAGATTAAATATAACTTAGTGATAGGAGTTAGCCATCTAGAGATTGGGGTATAGTTTACTTTTTTGCCCAGTTCAGATGGATTGATGAGAACCACTAAAAAGAGAGCATTTTGTTCTTTAGTATGAAAAAATAGTGAAGCTGTGATAAACAGAGTAAATGACCGGGATGAGCAACATCTGGAACAATGAGATTGAAAAATAATAAAATTAATGTCATTTCATGTCATAATATTGTTCCAATCTCCTCTACCTCATAGCGTTTCTTGTCCCCTTCAGTTGTTTCTTGGCAAGTGTAAAGAAAAAAAACAAAAACAAAAACAAGATAAAAATAAGACCAGAAAACCCTCTTAAGGAAATGCAGATCTCTAAACTAGTTAGAGATGGTTGACAGCAGACCCACCTCTCCCCTAACGCCTTCTGATGTGTTCTGTGCAGCACGCTCATTAACAGGAGTCTCTAGACCGTGTCTGGGAATAGGCACTGTGTGCAGGACCTTGAGGCTAGCACCTGAAGTGGATATGGGGGTAGGTGGGAAAATTGGTAAGTGTGTTGTTGGCCAAGACTCGGACCTTCAGGTTTAAAATACTTTCAGTGGCCATGTTTTTAATGCCACCAGTGAGAATATTATTGCAGAGATTCTGCCTTTGTGTTATTCTACATGTCTTCCCTCCACCCTGTGTCACTGTATGATTTATGAGCTTGTTTTCTTTGTTCTTTATCTCATGACGTTCTCTCATAATGACCATAATCATAATATAGAATAGAATTTTGAAAATTAATTTTTAAATATGGTTTTATATTCTTTGTATTTTCCTTGGTTGTTGGTTTTCAGTGGTTTCTTTTCACCTGTGAGGAGAGAAAGTTCTGCTTGTGGACTCTGGACCATGACTGATAGGTAGAGGAGAAAACCTATTTTCAGGACCCTGCAGAGATGCCCTTTGGAACATATGTGAAAACCATTCAGGCTGTTACCGGAGGTTCAGAGTTGTGTGGTAAATTCAGGGGGGGTACAAAGTGGATTTTAGATCTTAGGGACGGCTTTTTAGGCTGTCAGGGCTTCTCGTTTGTGTGCACCAGTACCATCTTTGAAAACTGAGAACAAAATTCCTGTCAAATCCTGTTTGTGCTTTAGGAGTGAGTAATGTTTAATAAACCACAGTGAAATCGTTTTTTAAAATTCTGTTTTAAATTATTTTTTAATTTTTCAATTATAGTTGACATAACTTACTATATTAGTTTCAGGTGTATACCCCAGTGATTAGATATTACATAACTTACTTAGTGATCATCCTGATAAATCTTGTATCTGTCTGGCACCATACATAGTTATTAGAACATTATTGACTATATTCTCTGTACTGTACTTTACATACCCATGGCTGTTCTATAACAGTCAATTTGTGTTTAATTTCTTCACCTTTTTTACTCACCCCCAAAGCCACTTCCTCTTTTGCAACCATCAAAATGTTCTCTGCATCTCTGAATCTGTTTTCTGTTTTGCTCGGTCTGTTTTTTATAGTCATTTGTTGATAGATATGTATTTTTTGCCATTTTCATACTTTCAATCTTTTTTTTTTTTCTTAAAGAAGACTCTAACATTTCATATAATACTGGTTTGGTGGTGATGAACTCCTTTAGCTTTTTCTTGTCTGAGAAGCTCTTTATCTTTGATTTCTAAATGATAGAAGTTCTTTGATTCTAAATGATAGCTTTGCTGGGTAGATTAATCTTGGTTGTAGGTCCTTGCTTTTCATCACTTTGAATATTTCCAGTCCTTTCTGGCCTGCTGATAGTGCCTGGCCTGGGGCCACTTAGTGAGAGGTATGGGCAAAATGCTGCTTGTTTGAGAGTTTTTAGGAAAATCCGAAGGATAAGCCAAGGTAGGCGGGCCATTTGTATGGAAAAGCCACTGGAATCAGGGTGGGTGAGCCAGAAATTGGTGATGCGGGCCTCAGGGAATCACAAAGGGGCAGGGGACAGTGCATTGTGAGCCAGGTTGGTGGAAACTCTGATATGGTACCCACCTGCCTGCTCTGGGTAGGGGGTAGCTCAGAAAAGGAACAGTGGCCTCTGTCAGCACTTTCTGTCTGGGAGAAAGCTCCACCTGTCCTCCATCCCTTCTCCCCCCAGCTCTTACCCTGATACTGAACAATTCATTTCCTCCCTGTATGTCTCTGGTGTCTTTCAAGCTGCTGCCCCAGTGCTGGAGGTCAGAGGAAGTGAGTCTGAGTAAATTCATGTATGGGTCCTTTAAGAGGAACCGCCTGAGATTCTAGAAGCCTTCCACCTCCCTCAGCCTCAATCCTTAATGGTTTTTATAGCCAGAGGTTGTGGGGACTTCCCTTCTTGGCACTGGAACCCTGGTATGTCGTAGGAGGGGGCAGCTGGTGTGGGGCTGGGTGTCCTTGCTCCTTGGCGAGGGGGGGGGCAGGGGGTGGGTGGCTCTGCAGCCAAGGTACCATTCCCAGTTTTATCCACCACACCTGGATGTGGAACCAGCCCGTTCTGTGTCTCTGTCCCTCCTATCACCAGTCTTGATATGGTTTCTTTAATTCTCTAGTTGTAGGACTGCAGTCAGCCTGATTTCAGGCGGTTCTGAAAGATGGTTGTTCTCTTCTGTAGGTAGGTGTAATTTTGATGTAGTGGGAAGAGCTGCCTCTTCCCACTGTGTTTACTTATGCCTCCATCCTGACAGGAAGTCAGAGCTGTCTCTGAAAGAATTTTTTAAATAGTTATTTTTTTTAAATTTGAATCAGATTTCCTCACACAGTGATTTTTGCATGTTGGTGTAGGACTTACATAGACTGCCAGGAGTTAGTGGAATTACTTATGCATTTTATCATCTAACTGTCATTGAGGCTGGGTTTTATTAGGAGTAATAACGGCACAGCAGGGCCCTTCAGGATAACATGAATTATGGGAAGGACAAAAGGAGATGCTGGTTTGACATACAGTCGCAGAAAACTACTTGGATTCCAATAAGCCACTAGTATATGATTTGCCTAAGAAATGAAAATGCTAGGACTTGAGATTCAAGTGTCAGGAAATTGGTATTTAAGTTTCTGACACTTGAATCTCCCTCCCAGGGAGGGCTGTGGCAGATGAAATGACAGTGGTAAACAAAGGGCTTGGTTTGGTCAGAAGAGTAACTTAATCTTAATTAGGGATTAATTAAGGATTAAGATGAAGTTACCTATTAATTTCTATCTCCACTCTGGATCAGAATAAATTGCATGTAAATTAATCAAACAAATGGGAGTTGATTTAATGGGGGAGAACTTGAGGGCTGACCTTGGTTGTCATCAGAAATAGGTGCTTTATTGGTTGAGGCGTCTTTACCTTTGTCATATATTTTGAGTATATATGCTTGTAAACATTCAAATAGGTTAGAAGTTCATAGAGTAGAGCATGGAAGTTTCTTATCTCCAGTGTTACCACTGTTAAAAGTTTATGTATCTTTTTTTTTTTTTTCTGTGCACGACTATATGGCACCGGCATATAAACATGGTTTTACAAGTAGGCACATTGAATCACTATAAAATGTTTCAGCTTTTGTTGATTAACATGTCTTGAAATTCTTCCCACTTCAACTTTTTATTGAATGAAGATCCTCTTCATTCTTAATTTCTGTACAGCGTTCTGTAATATAAATAATAATTACTTATTGATTCCTTAAAAAGTTGAGTTGATCATGATGTTTTAAATTCTGATGAAATCTCCCTGTCCACTAGAGGCTGTAACTTATGTAGTGGAAAATCTTACCTTCTGGTTGTCCACTTGCAGCCTTTTGGCTTTACGTAATTAATAATAAAGTGTGGCCTACTTTGTTACTGCTCCATAGCCTTGAAGATGGTCTTTTGGAAGGCAGATGTCAGTCTTTGTGGCTTCTGCCTGTGTCACAAATGCTTGTGTCATTTAGATTTCTTGGAGCCTTGCTTTTGGTAGGGCTGTGACCTCAGCTGTGCTCCTGCTCCCTGCCTGTGAGCAGGTGTCTTGTTTTCTGCGTGGGTGTTGGGCACATTCTCTCCAGCTGCTGCTGTGGTTTGTAGGTAGAGTGCATTTGAGGCTGTGGGAGCAGGGGTCTGCCTTATCAGCTCATCGTGTATGTTGTCTGCAGATTTGTTCTGTAAAGCATGCACAAATAATACACATCCTTGAGTGCTTTTATGGTTTAATGTAGATGGGATGCCTTATTAAATGGAATTTTTATTTCTGTTGGCTTGTTAAAAAGTCTAAAACATTTTATTTTGTTACAGATAGGTGATCTTCAGCTTCGCAAACTTGATGAACTAGATTGCTTAATAAAAGGAATTTTATACATTGACTCAGTTGGATTCAATGGACGGTCACAGTGCTATTACTTCGAAAACCCTGCTGATTCTGAAAATTGTCAGAAGTTACCGTTTGATTTGAAAAATCCATACCCTCTGCTTCTGGTGAACATTGGCTCCGGGGTTAGCATCTTAGCAGTGTATTCCAAAGATAATTACAAGCGGGTCACTGGTACCAGGTAGGTCTTTTGATTCTTGATATCATATAGGTATTGCATGTAAATATACCTTCTTTTAAAGATTTTATTTTTAGAGAGGGGGGAAGGGAGGGAGTAAAAGGGAGAAATACTAGTGTGTGGTTGCCTCTCGCATGACCCCTACTGGGGACCTAGGCTGCAACCCAGGCATGCACCCTGAACTGGGAATCGAACTAGAGACCCTTTGGTTCCCAGGCTGGCAGCACTCAGTCCACTGAGCCATGCCAGCAAGGGCATATATAAATACCTTTAAGAATTTGTTAAAATTATGTGAAAATAAAACTTTTTCTGGGATTATGCAAACAAATGTTTTGCTTTGAAAATTCTGATTTCATGACCTACTTTTTAAAAATCCGTATTGCTCCAGGTTTCATTACCATAGTTTCATAAACTCTCATCAGCAGACTCACTGATCCCATAGTCCCTGCTCTCAGATAGCATAGGGTGTGCCTGTATCATAAAGAACCACAGCTCGGTAGCACCTATGAGAAGAAGGCAAGAAAAGGCAACGTTCTAGCTTTGAAAGCGGCCTAGATGTTATACGTGTATGTAAACACATGCACGCATGCACGTGCTCATGTGGCCTGAGGATGATGTAAGATTTAGAAGTTGAGATATTGAGCAATAGAAAAATGGTTGGGGGCAAATAGTTTGAAAAGGGAAAATTGGATGGCAGATGGGAAAGGAATACACTTTAAGGATCAGAGACCACTTGAAAACTAAGGAGCTGGGAATTGGGATAAACAAGTTTTTTAATAGGTGTGAGTTGAATGAAAGGAGTAATTGTTTTTTTAGAAAAAGGCATTCTTGGAAGACATGCTGTGGAGTAGGGGTTGATGAGCCAGGGTGACAACCAAAATCTTGTATGAGGGTAACTCGGGGCCTGCACTTGGAGAGGGAAAGGGAAGAGGCACCAGCATTGTCCTAGGTGTGGCAGGCTGATTTGCACTCGGGGTTTCTCAAACTCAGTAGTTGCCCAGACTAGACTGGAGATGTGGGTGGAGTGGTGGTTCCTGTGTTTTGCCATGTTGCTTGTTGGCACACATGAATGTTTATCTTCAAGGGCATATTAGGGGCCTGTTATTTTCACAGACTTGTTTCTTTTTTATTTTTTAAGATTTGTTTTTAGAGAGAAGGGAAGGGAGGAAAAAAAGGGGGAGAAACATCAGTGTGCTAGAGAAACATTGATTGGTTGCCTCTTGTATGTCCCCAGCTGCACCACAGCACAGGCATGTGCCCTGACCGGGAATCGTACCAGTGACCTTTTGTTTGAAGGGTGACACCCAACCTACTGAGACACCAGTCAGGGCTTCAGACTTTTACTGGTGACATCTGCATGATTGGGTGGGGGCAAGAGTGGATGGATATGTGAATAGGGTTTGGGGTTTATAAATATTACCTTCCTATTATTTAAAAAAAATGTTAAAATACTGTGCTGTTTTTAATTATAGTCTTGGAGGAGGAACTTTTTTTGGTCTCTGCTGTCTGCTTACTGGCTGTACTACGTTTGAAGAAGCTCTTGAAATGGCATCTCGTGGAGATAGCACCAAAGTAGACAAACTAGTTCGAGACATTTATGGAGGGGACTATGAAAGGTTTGGACTGCCGGGCTGGGCTGTGGCTTCAAGGTAAGGGGGCTTCTGTGTTCTAAGAAATACAGAAATAAAAATATTGGGCAAACTTTTTCCTTCTAAATAGCTTTACATATTATACAGTCACCTGTTTAATGTGCCCAATTTAGTGATTTCTAGTGTATCTACAGAATTGTGCAGTCATCACCATAATCCGATTTTAGAACAGTTTTAACGTTGCAGAAAGAAACTGTTCACTAGCTGTCACTTCTCGTCTCCTCACCGCCCAGTCCCTGATAAACACTAATCTATTTTCTGTCTCTATAGCTTTGCCTGTTCTGGATATTTCATGTAAATGGAATCATACGATATGTGATTTTTGTTTAGCTTAATGTTTTGAAGGTTCACCCATATTGTAGCATAAGTCAGTGTTCTTTTTTGGTTTGTTTTTAAATTTTTATTTATTTATTTGAGAGAGAGAAAGAGGGAAACATTGCTTTGTTGTTCCACTTATTTATGCATTCATTGATTATTTCTCATATGTGCCCTGACTGGGGATCAAACCTGCAACCTTAGTATATTGGGATGACACCCTAACCAGCTGAGTTAGCCAGCCAGGGCCTAGTATTTGTTCCTTTTTACTGATGGATGATATTCCATGTATGGATATATAACATTTTATTTATCCATTTATCAGTTGATGAACATCTGGGTTGTCAGCTTTTTGGTGGACATAATGTTTTGAATGCTCTTGGGTGTATACCAAGGACTGGAATTGCTGGAACATGTGGTAACTCTGTGCTCAATCTTTTGAGGAACTACAGACTATTTTCCAAAGGGGCTATACCATTTAACAATCACACCTGCAGTATATAATGGTTTAAATTTCTCCACATCCTTGCTAACACTTTTTTTTGGTGTTTAAACTGCTTTAATAGGTGTAAAGTAGTCTCTCCTTATAGTTTTAATTTGCATTTCCCTAAGGATGTTGGACATCTTTTCATGAACTTCTGTCCAGCCTCTTTGGAGGAATGTCTTTTCAAGTCTTTTGCTCATTTTTTAGTTGGATTATTTGTCTTTTACTATTAAGTTGTAAGAATTCTTACATGTTCTAGGTACAAGTCCCTTATATAAAATACATAACTTGCAAATATTTTTTCATTCTATTGGTTGTCTTTACTCCTTCGATGGTATCCTTCGCGACATAGAAGTTTTACATTTTAGATCTTTTCTGTCTACTCTTTCATCACTGTACTTTTGCTGTTACCTAAAAGAAAGTATTGCCTAACCCTAAGACCATGAAGATTTACTTTTTGTATTTTCTTTTAATAGTTTTATAGTTTTAGCGCTACCATTTAGGTCTGTGGTCCATTTTGAGTTATTTTTGTGTATGGTGGAAGGTAGAGGTTCAGACTCATTCTTTTGCATGTGGATATACAGTTGTCTCAGCACCATTTGTTGAATAGACTACTTTCCTCATTGACTTTTGGCTCCTTTGTTGAAAACAGTTGACCATAAATGTATAGTTTATTTCTGAACTCTCAATTCTGTTCCATTGATGTTTATCATTATGCCAGTACCACACTGCTTTGATTACTGCAGCTTTGTGTTAAGTTTTGAAATTGAGAAGTGTGGGTCTTCCAACTTGCTCTTTTTCAAGGTTGTTTTGGCTTGTCTGGGTCCCTTGACTTTCTATATGAATTTTAGGATCAGCTTGCCAATATCTGCAAAAAAGGACAACTTGAATTTTGATAGGGATTGTGTTGAATCTGTAGATCATTTTGGAGAATATTACAGCTTTTAACACTATCTAGTCTTATGATCCAAGTACATGGCATGTCTGCTTACTTAGATCTTTGCTTTCTTTTCCCCAGTATTTTATAGTTTTCAGTGTATATACTTTTGTTAAATATATTTCTAAATATTTTATTCTCTTTGATGTTGTAAGTGGAATTTTTTTTAAATTTTATTTTTGAATTGTTTGGAGATATAATTTTTTTGTGCGTTTTGGGACACATGGTTTTTAATAATAGAAAAGGCACTCATACATATGCTTGTTTACTAATTTTAGGCACTTTGTACATAGATTTCATTTTTGATGAGCAGCATTTGCTCATTGGTAATCACATCTGTTTATGATTGCTTGGGTTTGTTTTCTGGTCACACTTTGCTGGGATAAAGCAGTTTATCAGATGTGAATATGACCCCGTCAGCTGAGTGGGACAGCTGGGCAATTGGGGAGGAATTGTTAGTAGAGGTGACTTTCTGGACATTTTCCCTGTTTGCAGAAGGAGCAGTAGTGCCTTGCAGTGGATCTGGTGAGATTCTAACTGATATGTTAATATCTGGTATCAAAGCTCGATATAATGCAGTGGAAGCCATTGCTCATTCAGAGTACTTGAGGGTTCTCTTTGAAGCTGCATTTCTCTTGGAGCAAATGCTCCTTTATTTTGTAATGAAAAGTTTGAAGATTTGAACATTACTCTAAAAGTCACATTCAAGTTCTTTTGGGCCGTGTTGCCAAACAGAATATATATATTTATTTATTTTGAATATATATATATTTATTTGAATATATTTATTTATGTGAATATCTGTATATTTTTTTAATTTTTTTCCCCTATCACAGCTTTGGAAACATGATGAGCAAGGAGAAGCGAGAGGCTGCCAGTAAAGAGGACCTCGCCAGAGCAACTTTGATCACCATCACCAACAACATTGGCTCCATAGCAAGAATGTGTGCCCTTAATGAAGTAAGGGGACAGGAATTTCTTTAGTTGCTCTGAGGAAAATACAGAACACCCTAAAGTGGGCCCCACTTCGTATAGAACATCTGTCTTCTCCGAACTGGGCCTAATTGTGGTCATATGTGGTGGAATTTGTTTCATTGGCAAAGTTAAAACTCTTCATCTGTAGATTAATCTTAATTGATATATTTTTTCTTAGACTGAAAATAAACACTGTACTGTCTACAAGTAGAGGAGAAAGTAGAGGAAGGCAGGAAGGGAGCCAGTGTGCCAGATGATGGGGGGATGTTGGGTGGCAATATGGGTAGCGATGCTGAACCCAGACTCCATGCTCGTTGTGGCTGGCTCTAGAATCCCTGGGAAGGAATCCAGAGGAAGTCCTGGAAGCTGGGAGAAGACCAAGCGGGCCTCGCAGTGCCTGCCCTGCCCCCTCCACTGCAGCAGAGCTGTCTTTGTGCTTTCAGCTTCTTTACAGTGCTGCCTTGTAGCATTCAGGTCAAGCAGCATTGTACAGGGCTATGAAAGAACCAAGAATGGCCTTCCCTTGGTGGTCCAGTTGGTGCAGCTTTATAGCTTGTCCCTATGTATACATTTTTGTTTAAAATTATTCTTTTAAACAGATAAGATAGAGATGTGGCTTTAAAAAAAACCCTTAAAAGGTGCAGGATTGTGTCATTTTTAAGTAAAAAGATACTGTATCAGCATCAAGTAATTAAAAAAGCCTCTTCATTTGAATATTTTAACTCTGTTTTCTTTATTGCATGTTCTCTTTCCTGTGTTTATGTATTTAAGATTTTAGTTGGTATACATACCATTTTATATTTTTATGTAACTATAAACATGATGCATATTTGATTTATTTTAATGTCATACATCATTCACATCAAGCTGGGCACTTGGTTGCTTGCCAGTGATAGCTGTGTAGTAAAGCATTTTTAAACACAAAGCTGTTCCTTGGTTGGATTTTATTCTTGATAAGAGACTTAGTCAGAAGTGAGTTTTCTCCTGTAAAGAACATGACCACGTTATGAATCTTGGTAGGTATTGCCAAGGTGCTTTCTTTGCAGAAGGGATGCAACAATTTAGAACATTTTGAGCAGTATATGAGTGGGTCAGTTTTACTACAATTTGACTAATAGTGAGTGGAATTTCAGTTGTTTTGTTAACACTTAATGGGTCTAAAATTTTTACTTTTTTTGGATCATTAGTAAGGTTAAATTTCTTTTCTGTGATATTTCTTACATAATTTGCCTATTTGTGTTACTTTGATTTGGGTCTTTTTACTTTGTATAAAACTTTTAATAGTTATTTGTCATTATTTTTTAAAGATTTATTTATTTTTTAGAGAGGGCTGTGGGGAGGGAGAGAAACATCGTTGTGTGGTTGCCTCTTGCGCTCCTCCTACTGGGGACCTGGCCTGCAACACAGGCGTGTGCCCTGACTGGGAATGGAACCAGTAAACCTTTGCTATCACAGGCCAGCACTTAACCACTGAGCCTCACCAGCCAGGACTATTTGTCATATTTAATACACATGTTTTTCTTAGAAAATCTGTTTTTTCCCGTGATATTTTCTGGCATGCTTTGAAGTGGGGCCAGAGTTGTTTGGGGATCAAGTTAAGCAGTCCTTGATCAATTGGATTAAATATAAGTACTTACTTATTTGTGATCAGCAGTCAATTTGCTTCCAGAAACTAGGCATGTGGTCTTTGTTTGGGGTAGCTTTTACAAGAGGACAGAAATTAAGATGAAAACTAATTGCCTTCTTTTGATGTGCTCAGAATATTAACCAGGTGGTATTTGTTGGAAATTTCTTGAGAGTTAATACGATCGCCATGCGGCTTTTGGCATATGCTTTGGATTATTGGTCCAAGGGACAGTTGAAAGCACTTTTTTCGGAACACGAGGTAAGCAGACTTATTTCCTGCAATATGTCACTTACATAAAGGGCATTTAATTCACACTGTTGGAATTTGAAGTGGAGGTGAAAGGCACTTCAGCACTCACATGTTTTTGTAATTGTATGATATGGGGTTTAACTTTGATTGTATTAATGTTCAAAAGCTATTTCTTAAACTTGATTTAATGCAAGAAAGATTTTTAGTTAATTTCATTGTGAGCTTCAGCAATTTTCAAGAAAGAGGTCTTGATGAACATTCAGCCATATTTCTGATGCCTTATTCTTTTCTGAACCATCCATTATTTTTCCCATTGTACTTTATAAATGCACTTCTCTGGGTTCTGCTTATTTTATTTTTTGATGTCAGTTTTTATGCATTGGTCTAGTTCATCCCATTTATTTAATATGTATGTTTTGAAAACAAATAGGTCAGTAAAAAGCATTCCAAGACTAGAAACAGCACCATAAAAACTTAACACATAGACATGCTAGAAAAGACAAAGTGGAAAAGAATCGTTGAGTTACTCAACCTGATATCCTATTTTGGAAGGTGCTTTCTCTTTCCTCTTCTTGGTTGTGTGGCAGTTGAACTATTTCAAGTGTTGTTGGATTTTAGATAGTGTTATCATGAATGTTTTTCAAAATCGTGTGTGTGTGTGTGTCTATTTTTTATCTTCACCTGATGACATACTTACTGATTTTAGAGGGAGGGAAAAGGAGGAAGAGAGAAGAGAAACTAACGCAAGATAGAAATATCAGTTGGTTGCCTCTCATATATGTCCCGAATGGGGACTGACCCCACAGCCTAGGAAATGTGCCCTGACTGGGAGTGGAACCTGGGCCTTCAGGCTTTTGGGATGACGCTGCACCCAACTGGCCACACTGGCCAGGGCTGTCTGTCTGTATTTACTTTCAATGGTGTTTATATGAATTGACAAATCGAAGTAAGATTTGAAGTGCTAGAGAGGTTGCTTTTTCCTTTAAAATAGCTCTAAGTTTTTCTTTTCAAGTTGCTTAAGTTCATGGTTAAAACCCAAAGTACACAAATTTCCTATATCAAGATGCTTAAAGTTTAAGACATATAACTTGTTTATTGCTTCTAATGTTATATTAGTAAATCAGTACCAAGTTACCATTGTTTTTTATACCTTTTATATACATCTTGTTTGTTGTGATCTTTTTACCTGTTCTATGTTAGAATAAAAAGAAATCATGTTTAATGTTAAATTTTAGTGTAACTTTCCTCCTGCTGAATTTCTACTTCTTGAACCTTTTTCCTAGTTAGAACATGGAGATTGATTTCTTAGGTTAACTTTTTTTTTTTTTAACTTAAATTGTCATGTCATCACAGTTAAAATGTGAACCCTTCGGGAAATTTTGTTTTTATATTTTGGCCTGCCAACTTGATTTTCTACTCTGGTTAGCATTGCTGGTCCACTTCTCTTTTGTGTGTTTTCTTGTATTCAGGCTTCTGATTCTAGGGTTAATTCCTGCAAATATGGAACTTAGATTATTTCAGGCCCTCTGAGTCTTGAAATTCACTTGACCCTTGAACATTAATGAGAATTTGAATTGTGCAGGTCCATGTATACTTGAAATTTTTTATTTCACTTATTTTTAGAGGAGAGGGAGGGAGAGAAACATCTATGTGAGATGGACAGTGAAATATCAGCTGGTTGCCTCCTGCATGCCCCCACCTGGGGACCTTGCCCGCAACTCATGCTTGTGCCCTGACCAGGAAGTAAACCGGCAACTTTTCAGTTTGCGGGCTGTTGCTCAATCCACTGAGCCACACCAGCTAGGGCTGAATATTTTCAGAAATACAGTTGACACTTTGTACCCATGAATTCAATAAACCACAGATCAAGAACAGTATTTTTGAATTCCCAACCTCAGTTTCCCAACAGCCGATCAGAAATCTACTTAGGAAATGGGTGTCAGGAATTAATGTCAGTGTTGGCTTTAACACTAGTAATCATTTATGGTAATTTAAATAAGTCTAAAGAAAATTGCTCATTTTTTGTGTTTTTTTTCCCCCCCCAGGGTTATTTTGGAGCTGTAGGAGCACTACTTGAGCTGTTGAAGATCCCCTGACTGTTACCTGGGGAGGGGGAGTTCCTGGAACACTCTGCAGTGGGATCTGTGAACTTCTGTTTTTTAAGAGCCTTATTTATTACTTAATTTTATGATTGTTTATGACCTGAATCAAAGCAAGAAAGGACAAGGGAATTTTTCTAAGTCATCAAGATAATTCAGTCTAAACTAGTAACCAGTAAGGAAAGATTACATGTATGTAACGTGGACCATGCCTGTGACAGTGAGGATTTGCTGTAATACCCGCTGTGTCTTTTTGAAGTTTAGTGTCACTCGCTGAAGTGCTGCAGGGGAGAGCTATTCCGTGTTCCCCTGACTGTGGTTTTGTATGCCATTGAATGTGCTAAATGTAAGGCAAGTTACATGTATTATAATCTAATCACAATTTTGTCAGTATGGCCTTGGAGATCATCACCTGTTCATGAAATCTGTTGTGCATTTAGCCTTTGTGTGAACATACTGAAAAACATGTTTTATTTCAAGATTCTACAAGATCAATTGGACAGGTTAATTCTATATCTGTAATTTTGACAATTAAGCAACTTTTAGAAAGACAATTCCAGATCACTTTATACCATAAATCCTATAGGCAGATATGTTTGGAAAGACAGGACTTCAGTGGGGCAGAATCACCTTGGGTATTGGGCTGATTATTGACCTAATGGAAGTGAGTAAACTGGGACAAAAAGAATAGAAGACTAAAACCGGACAAAGAGTACTGCTCTGCACCCCGCCTCACCCCCCAGGAAACTGGGGAGAGAATCTGGTTTCACTTTCAGGCTAATAGAAATCAAGGAGTTGAGGTGCCTGTTAACTCATGGGGAGCAGGGTGGGGTTCTTGCCACCTCTCTCCCCCACTCCTGGTCTTGGCACTTGCCAGCCCCTAGGTGCAGTCCTGACTTCTCTGACAGTCTTGCTCAAAAGGCTCCTGCTTGGGAGAAAGGTTTTGAGATAGAGTATTGCTACACTCTGGACCTTTTCTTTCTGCTGTGCAGAATAATTTTTAAAAACCTCCTTGGAGATGCAACATTTGTGTCTTATTTTTGTATATTACTTGGCACCTGTATTGCCGTTGAAGGCAATTAAGGGTCTATATAAAGCAGCTTTTTTTTTTTTTTTATAAATCCCCACCCAAGGACATGCTTACTGATTTGAGAGACAGGGAAAGGGAGGGAGAGGTAAAACATCTGGGAGAAACATTGGTTGGTTGGTTCCTGCACCTACCTAGACCAGGGACTGGTCCAAACCTGCAATCTAGGTATGTGTCCTGACTGGGAACCAAACCTGTGACCTTTTGGTTTACTGGACAGTGCTTCAACCGAACCATACTGCCAGGGCTAAAGCAGCTCTTGAACTAGAAGGAAACAACAAGGTTCTGTGATGGTTTCAGGTGAGGAGACTGGCAAAGGAGGGATCTGGTGGATAAGTTCCAAGGGATAGAAGAGAGCAGGGGGCACTGCTGGGTTGTTGGGGGAGGAGGAGCTCAGGCACTTGCCTAGTGGCTGGGTTGCTGGTGCCTCCCATGTTGGCCACGTGGGGGCAGCAGAGACCCGTGCCTGTGGCTTGTTAGAGGGGTTGGCCATTTCCTCCCCGTGGGTTACACTCCTGCATGGTCCCTGGCACCTGTAGGTGCTGCTGCCCTGGTGTAAGCCCCAGAGCTGGAGGGCCATTGGGGGTGTGTGGTGGGAATTGTCACCCTTGTATGGCACTGGCTGTCTCTGCTCCTGCTCCTTGTAGCACTCCCTGTTCTCAGCTTGAACCATGCCACCCCCATCCTGTCCTGTGTCACTTCCAGGCACCTCGCTTGGTCCCCATAGGCAGGAAAGACAGCGCCAGCATTCACTCACTGGTTATCACAGTTGTATTTCTTGGGCCCCTCATGTCCTAGGCATTCCTCTGCTGCCTTCGTGGGCCAAGTACCAGTCCTGTCCTCTGCACGTGCCTCCCCCCGCCCCCCATCAAGGCAGAGAAGGTGGAGGGAGCAGGAGCCAGCCTTCTTCTCAGGCCTGTGTTGTGGGTCCTACCTGTCCTTTATAGGCTCTGCCAGTGTTTTACATGTGTCGTCTCATGCAGTATTTGTCATCTCTAGAATTCAACAGAAAAGCAAACCAACCCAAGGCCATACAGGCTGAGTTCCCCCTCCTCCCTTGCATTAGCCTTCCACCTCCTAGGACCCACTTGGCACTCGCACTTGAGAAGTTTCCTCTGATCTCACTTCGGGGGTTCTTAGCTCACACTACCACTCCATGGATTGGTTCCTGATAGGTCCACTGGTGAATCTTGCTAAGTCTTATGTATATTTTATGTCCTCATCTTCCTCAGTTCTAACGCATTAGACCTCTCTTGGCTTTCCTTCTTCCTTCCAGGCCCCTTTGTCTCTGCCAGCTTATTTTCAAATTGAAGACAATTTGAAATGGCTTCAGGTGCAGTCCTCATTTCTCTAAGCAGTTATGAGCACACACCTTAACTCTTAACTTCCAAGGTAGCATGCCCAGGCCAGCACTTGCCTTTGAGCTCCAGTCCTATTGCAGTGACTGCCTTCCCTTCTCTCTACTTTATCTCCAAGGCCATTCCTACACAGAAATGTCCACACCCTTTCTCCTGAAACTCCTCCCCTCCAGGTTAAAATCTCCACCATTGCCACCACTGTAGTCTAAACCACTGCTGTCTTATCCCAGCAATTGTCCTTTCCAGCCTGCTTGAGGGTCCCACCCCACACTCCACCAGAGGCAGTGTGGATGGCTTTGGTCATGGCCCAGGTGAGAAAGGAACCAAGATGGGAGCAGTAGGTGGTCCGCTGGGGAGAGGAATGGTTAGAGGATTGCCTGTTGGGCTGTGATCGTTGGTATGGGGGAGGGAGGCTTTGTAAGTGCACTGAGGCTTGTTGGAGAGGCTTGGTTTTGAGCTGTGATTAATACCAAATAGCTGGATATTTTAAGTTGTAGAAAACAGCTGAGAATGATGTGCAAATAGGTGGGCAAGCTGTAGGAGGGAATTTAGTGAATGCCAGGGGAGAGGGAGAACAACTGAGATGGGCAGAGAAAGGAAATCTGCAAGAGACTGAAGAGAAGTCAGAGAGGGGGCTGGGAGGTTCTGTTGCTCAGAAGAATGAGGGGAGAGGAGCTCTCCAGACAACTGAAGTAAGGATTAAAGGTGGCCCAGAGATGGCCTCCTAGGGAACAATTTCCCCAAAGCCTCTGGTCCTCGTGAGGGATGGTGAGGAGAAAGGGCAGCTGCCCACAGTATGACCTTGGACCAAGAGATTTTTTTTTTCTCTTAACAAGTTAACTCACAGGTGTGGGATACAGAGGTATGAGGTATGGGCTAATTCTGCCTCTTAAGGCCTCCTGAGTACCAGTACCTGTATTTGGGAAGCTAGTAGTTTTCTGTGCAGCTGTATTTGCAAAGCTGAGGCCAGGGTGGCAGGTGGCCTTGGCTTCTCTGCTTTTTCTCTCATTTTGGCCTAGTGCTTTACTCACCACCCCTGACCTGTACCTCACACTTCTGGAGGGGACAGCCCAGAAGCTCCTTTATCACCATTACCTTTGCTGGTGACCAGCTCAGTTTGATCAGAACTACTCACCTTGACTTTCCAACTCTTGCAACAATGGGCTGAAGTGGGGTGTGGATGACCACACGTGGGTATTTGATTAACATGAAGTATTTTTCAAAATCTGTTTATTTACATTTAAGTCAATTACATGCATGTTTCATTTTTAAACGAGTAATTAGCAAAAAATGCATTAAAACTTTAAAATAGCAATTAAATATACAAAAATATACCTTACAAAAAACTGCGAATGTTTAAAAATATTCTGCTGCAGAACTCGTAGTGTACAAACATGTCTATGAAACCTGAAGCTCAGAATTTCATAAACCTTTTTTTTGAGGGAGTTATATATCTAGTGAATGAACCCCGGTGGGCTAAACTACAAGACTAAATGATCCTTCATGGCAATGATCTGTTGAGAGACTCAGAGACAACAGTTATCAGGAACACTATCTTGGAAGACTGGTGTCAACCAGGAGGGGCCCCATCTGCCTACCTGGCCCTAGCGGAACCTGGGAGGGAAGGTGTAGACAGGGATGGTGTGCAGCTGGTCCAAAGCACAGGCTTGTACTGGCAGAGGAGTTGCATCGAAGTACAGATAAGTCCCTTGATAGTGGGTGGTTCACTTTGTAGGTACACATACCTGGCTCAGGCAGTGTGGTTTCCCCAACTCCAGCCACAAAAGAGGTTTATTTATTTTTTTTTGAGGGGGATGTTCATAGAGTGGGGAGGGAAAGGAAGGCCAGCCCATGTACCTGAACATCTGATTGATTCTGAGATGGACCAGCTACTTGCTTAGCAACATCTGAGACATCTGCCCCACAAGATAGGTATGTTTTTGAAGGAAGGCATTCTGTCTGAGATGGACCAGCTACTTGCTTAGCAACATCTGAGACATCTGCCCCACAAGATAGGTACCATGGCCTTCAGTTGCTGCTTCTCAAACTGCTGCCTCAGAAACATGGGTGCCCACCTAAGAAAGCAAGAGTTAACAGACATCACTGCTGTACTCGGGCATCACTTGGAAGTGGCCAAGAGGGAGTGGGGGCAGCCTGGAAACTGGTTGTGCTCCCATATTATCTGGACATTTGTGGTAAAGGTTAGGGAGGGATTGCAGTTAATGATTTTTGTATAGAAAACCATTCCAGTGTGCTGCAATCAAGAAAAATGCTTATTCAAAAGGAATGTGATTACAAAATCACCCACCACTTCTGGACTCATCATTTACACACATTCTGACTTCTGGTACAGTTCTTCCCACACGAATAGGAATGCTCTTTGAATATCCTCTGGTTATCACATGAGGGGAAAAAATTAATACGCGCATACACAAGTGTTGCTCGTATATACATAAATAACCTCTGGAATGATACGTGAGGAACAAGACAATTTTCCAGGGGTGAGAAGCTGGGTTTGCTGGAGGGTGCGGTTCAAGGAAGACTGATTTGTGAGCCATGTAAAGCGATTGCTTACTCAAGTTTAAAGTTATTCAGCAGTAAGCAAATGAGGGAGCACTGGGTGACCCAGATGGAGGTGACTAGGGAAGATCAGGAAGGGGAAGAAGGGAGCCAGCAGGCCTGGGACAATGAAGGACCCCCCTCCCCCCGAAAACAAACAAACAAACAAACAAACAAACCATGCAGACCTGTCGTCTTACAGGCTCTGGACACAGCTAATCCTTGCAAAGAGCTAGTAGAAATACCATTACAATCCCTGGGCAATGGATGAGGAAACAGGCTGAGAGCTAACTGGTAGGCACCTAGCTGCTGAGTGATAGATGGTTCAAATCACTCATTACTTTTTCCATCCAGTGCTCTGGGGATACCTCTGCATTTTGTAATTCCCAGAAAGCCTCTCAGAAAAGTAATTACTATAGTTATTAGCTGATCAGAGTGGGGTCAGGCCATGGAGATAACACTGGAGTGGGGCTGTGGAAAGTGCTTGAGATCAAGGCTCCAAGGGGTTGGCACTAGGGAGAAAGCTTTTCACTTGTCAAGACTTGCAAAGAACAGGCATCTGGCCATGGTGGGAGGTCCCCTGTATCCCTCAGCCCAGGCTTCCCCATGGGCCACCAATTTCCTTTTGGCCATTTCTGTCTAACCAGATCACCTGGTGGCAAAGTAAAATGGCAGACAAAAAGCAAGAACCCAGTTGGGCTGATTTTCTGTTTCTAAAGCCCACTGAGTTCAGTTGTGCCCCTGGCAACCATTAGATAACAATTGGGTCACCAGGGGAAACCAGCTGGGGCTGAGCTCTGTTCCACTAACCCATGGCACACAAGTAACATCCAGTTTTGGAGCTGCTTAAGATGCATTTAGACAAAGTAAAAAAGTCACCATGTCATTAGCCAGTGGCACAAAAGCAGATCAGAGCCTCCATGTTTATAAAGATTAACAAGGCCCCCCCCCCCCCACTTGGACAGATTGGGACAGGGTGGCTTCACTGAGGTGTGAGCCTGAGCCAAGGGTACTAAGAAATCCTTGACTCCTTAAAAAAGTCCACATAGAAATTTAACCTTGTCTGTCACATGAAACTGATTTTCATCAGGATGTAGGGAAGATGTACATAACCCCCCAGCCACATGCAGTTGTCACTGCAGCACAGGTCGGTGCTGGAGGAAGACCCAAATGTGGGTGGCAGATGCATTCAGATTGTGTTCTAAGAGTTGCAGGAGCTACTGTCAAGTGACAACGGCTATGCTGTGGCCGGGCACCAAGCCAAGAAAGAGGGGATAACTATGAGCAGAGTGGGCAATTGGCACTCCAATGTCCAGCCCCATCCTGGTGGAAGCTGTATTTTAAAAAGCCCTCCATATTCACAAGTGTTGAGGTCATGTTAGTGGTGCCTCATGGGGCAAAATGGTGCTGGAGGGAGAGTGCACAGCACTCTCGGGCTTCCCTCCAGACTATCTGGCTTTGCTCCTCCAGTCCAGTGTGGACCAACCACATCAATCTGCTTTTAGCTGTGACGCAATGAAATGAATTTGTTTGCCTCCTTACAAATAGAGGGACTTGGTGGGGCACTGCCTCCTTGGTACTGACACGGATGGAAAAAGCTGCAACCGAAAGGTCATAATTCTATAAAAATGGAGTCGAAGCACTTTACAGTATAGAGCACAAGCATTCCTCCTTTGAGGGGAAAAGTTCTTTCCTATTCAAACCTCGTAAAGACAAGATGACATTTGTCCCATGGCCATTTCATGGAAAATGGTGGGTGTTGGTCATTAACAAGGCTAGTCCAGAAGCAAGCCTTCGGACACTGGTCACTGAAAACATTTCACTGTAACTTAGATGCTTTGCAGCATTCAACTCTATTGTGCTACAAACAGAATGCAGAAACAGGATGAAAGTCTGAGTGTACAAATAGTTCTTTTCATTGGGTGCCAAACAGGCTAAGGCTTTCATAAAAAATATTTCACACTTTCCTTGCCCTGCTTAAGAAACAGTCCAGTTGGCATACCATAGGAATACCATACGGCAGGTCATACACAGGAACAGCCAATTCTGACCAACTGGATTTGTAATTTTCCAAACTGGATTCTGCCCAGCACTTTTCTAGGCTAATGGGAATTTTTCTTATCCTGTAACCCCAGCCACCAGGTTCCCTTGCCCATTCTAGGGCAGTACAGGCTGGACTCCAGAAAAAATTCCTGGAGACATGCTATGAACAGAATTGCAAAGCTTCCTCCTTCCTCTCTGTACCGTGCAGATGGTGTTTCCAGTGAGCAACTGCCCCACGCACACCACTGAGGGAGCAGAGGCAAAGCTGCTGAGGAGGAGCCCATCCCTCTAAAGGGAGGAGGTGGAGAACGGGACTGAGGAAAGGAACTAGAAAGTTCTTAGCTAATTTACACACATTCATGAATCCTAATGGACTCTGAGTCATTTCTAGAATAGTTGGACAGAAAGAGCCCAAGAATAGCATGCATTGCTCTCATAAAGACACTTTCAGCTTTTGCAAGTTTGAATACTGAGGCACACACCAATGAGTGAACAGCCCTGCAGGAGCTTCCTGGTACTATTTACAATTTTAAGTGGATCCCTGCCTAAAGAATAACAGAGGGATCTTATTTGGGATGCTTTAAATTGTTAAACCGATAACAGGCATTTTCTCTGAAGCAGAAACAGGGCAAGAGAGGGAAGAGAACAAAGGGAAGGAAGAAGGGGAGAGGCAAGGGGGTCCCAATCGTCCTATCTCAACAGGGCCAGGACTAGCCATTCTTAGAGAGGCTCCCAGAGCTCCTACCAAGGCAGCGGGTGAAGACCAGCAGCTGTGCTGGAGCCACGCCTCACATGGGGGGATGTGGGCAGCACTCTGAGAACCCGGGTCACACAGAGACGCGTGGGCTCAGAGACCCAGCCCCTGCTGGGGCTCCTGATGGGCAGTGTGGCCGTGCCTCCCTGATGGGGTGGGGGTGGGAAAATGAGAAATGGCAGGTTCCGGGGTGGCCTTATCAAAGGAACGTAAGAGGAAAAGCCTTGTTGGCACTGCCTGACCAACCAGGCAACCGGTCATGCTTCGGCTGAGGTAACCACTGGTTTTACTTGGCTCAGGGGCTGCCAGGAAGGTTTGCTGCGGCTAAGGCATGCACAGTCTGCATAGAAGCTCGTCTGTCCACAGGGTGGGGGTTGGTGGCTTTAAAGACCTGCTCTCAGTTCCCTTCTCTAATATTTGTGTTTATCTTCCCTCTTGCTTGAGAAAGATTTCACCTTACGTGGAGATAAGTGTTCCAGGAGACAGCATGTAACTGAGTCAGCAAGAGACTCATGAAGTTTCTTGAAATAAACCCGCAGACTCATTCAACTTCTCTTGATGTGGGGTAGTGTCAGCGTGCTTTGGTTGTCACAAGACCCAGAAGTCTGGGTTCTCGCTTAGTTGGCCCGAGAGTTCTTCATGAGACAAAGGAAGTGGCAGCTGGTGCCCCAGGTAGAGCAGCCAACACAGAGGATACTTGTGTTCCTCCTGCTTCAATGCAGACATGGGATCCCACAACTGTTTGATGCTTGTGGTGAACTACACAATGTTCTCTGCCCCGGGAAGGGGTCCCTGTGGGGGTCCGTGGTCCTGCTTACTGTGCAACTGGGCCAGCTGCAGAACTGGCATGTTGCATAGTGGACACACTTTCCGAACCTCCAGCCACTTAATAAGGCACCTGTAGGATGAGACACCACAAGAGGAAAGACATCAGTCCTGTGCTCATGGTACCCCCGCCCACACACCTGGCATGGTGACACATGTGTGGCCCAGAACAGTGAGGTCCAGAGAAGCTCCACCTCTTGGTGGAGAATGCACTTCACCCTCTGGAGGACCCAGAGCCTCCAATCTTCCAAAAGGCCATCGTAAGAAGCCCGTCCGCATGCCATGGTTGACATGTACCACTGAGATGGTACGAAGCAGGAGAAATAAAGTTTTCTAATAGAAATGCAAATGCATAAAATACAAGAGAAAGCAGAATATGAATATGTCTGTGGGAGGGGGCAGGAGACAGCCCTGCAGTGCCATTTACATTCAGGATTATTTATCTTGATTTAAAATAACTATGGTTTTGATTAAAATAAGTTTTTGGAGTGGAAGCTCTCACTGGAAAGTTCCAGTTAAACAGCTGTTTACAGCCTGGGCTCTCAGGAGGTATGGGCTTGTCTGGCTGTCTGCCAGAGTCCTGCCACGGTGGTTACGTTCCACCGCAGTCCCTCCTAATGTCATGTAAACACACCTGCCCCACCCTTAGGGTGCTTTCTGCACTACACACCAATCATGAAGCCGTCACTCGTCTGGCACGGTCTCAAGATAACAGTAAGCTGCTTGATGTGCCCCAAACTCAGGTCCCCCTAAATGATTCCAAACCAATACTCACTTTCTGTGGAAGGCATGCTTACATGGACAAATCCCCAGCTCATCTCGAGGCTTGAAGTCTTCTAGACAAACGGCACAGAGCTGAAAGATAAATTCATGGATTAGGCTGAGTATCTGCTAAGGACCCTCTCAAACCACAAAGTAAAGTGCAGGCCCCTCAGGCCCAGCCAGCTGAAGGAATTTGCAGTCTTCCACAGTTCCTTCAGCGAAAGAAACAGGCTCCTCTGGACAAGGTCTTCTGAAGAAGAATCTCCTGCTCTTCCTGTCACGTCTTCAGAGATGGAGGGCACACAGGAGAAGACAGAAAGGAAGAGGAAGTTTCCTTTACTTGCTTCAGTGCCTCCGAAGAGTCGAACTTAGGTTAACTCTCACTAGACAGGCGGGACGTAATGTACTGTGCCCAGGGGCAGACTTTCCATAGGGGGGCTCTGCCTGCTCAGCAGCATGGCCCCTAAAGGGGACTGTTCATACCCTGGGGAGGAGCGGGGGGGGGGGCTGGGGCTCTCCTTTCTCTGCTAACATGCTTTTATAATTCCTGGGTCCCCTCACTTTGGCACTGTCCTCCTGTCAGTGTCTGTCCTTGTCATATAAAAAGTTATTCAAGAGTCACTGAATTTAAACTTGAGAAAATGTGCAGACAGGGCTGAGATTGCTCTGACGGGTGGCCAGGCCCCACGGCTTGGAACACCCAGATGTGTTCCACGGACTGTGCTCCTTAATTTTGCTGCTGTACAGCACCTCATTGTATGAATCACCGTATCAGGTTTTTCTTCCTTTCCTCTCTCCCTCTCTCGGTGGGTAATCTGCCAGCATATCATATTTTATTTATTTGTTACAGTACCGACGGACATTCAGCTTGTCGCTCATTTTTCACTATTATATTCATTAATAATAGTATCCACATTGAAATTTCATGTTGTTACATAGGACCAAGCTATGTATCACTGTGTAATTAGGCTACACACATATAAAAATTTGACAAAAATAGTTTGATTACCAAGAAATGTAGCTGGAAAGAACCAAGTGAATTGTGAAAGACGCATCATGGCCTCTAAACACAAGGTGTAGCAAGGTCAGGTTTTCCTTGCTACAGTTTCAAGTAACGGGGAGGGTGGATCAGCAGCCTGGTCAGACTCGGTGAAGTTGGCGGGGACAGCTGGATACTAGCTTGGACATCCATGCCGTGACACAGTGCATTTACTCAGGATAAAGATGGTAAACTGATGGGCCAGACCAGTGAGGAAGACATCTGTTCCCGGCAAATCTGGTTATTCAATATTGCGAATGTACAAGTATGTCAGGATTTAATGTTTTAATTAATAGTCATCAAAGACACCCCAAACAGAAAAGGGATCACCCTCTATTACTTCATGTTAATTTTGGCCACGTGCCAAAGTTAACTTTGGGGGAAAATTAAAAATAAAACAGTAATTGATGCTTGAGTTTAATGCAAGGTTAGGTGTGAAATGCTGTGACCTATCAACTCTGATGAAAAAATGTGCAGAAAGAGCAAAGGAGCAGCAGATGACATCAAAGTATTCAACAATAATATAAATCATTATTATTATTGTTCAAATAATTTCACAAACTATCTTTAAAGAGAGTGGCAATATAGCTCACCACAGTTAATCCACATAAAACATAGATATTACATATGCAGCTTTCTAAGTCCTTGCTTTAAACACCAGCTCAAAAGCTCAGAAAGACAGGAAGAGAAAGGGCCCTAAAATTTAAAATTCTGAATATCTGTAGTTAAAGGCAACACACGAAATAAAACAAAAAAGAATTCTTACAGACTGTGTGTCTTAAGGTATATCAGGATACACATACAAGTTTGTATTGAAGTTACAAAGCATAACATAGGGAACACCTATGAACCTGCAACCACGCAACCCCGACACTAGGTAATCCTGAGGGTATACCTCTCCTCGAATGGTCTTCCCTACTGCGTCCCTCTGTCCCACCTCCCCAAACTCCTGTTCCCAAGAAATAATTACTGTCTTTTTTGTGACAATGGTAAGTAAGAAGGGACTACTGGGAACACTTTCAAGAGTGTGATTACTGCAAATTCGCCTTGAGCAGAAGAACTCACATCCACCTATCTCCTCCTCACCGGCACTGACAGCGGGCAGCATCCCTGCCGCTACACAAGCTTATGTGGGCCACCATTCCTATGAAAAATATGAGTTATGTTACTCTCTTAAAGTCTTCACACAATTGATTTTTATGTGACCTCATCCTCAAATATTCTATTAAGCTGATCACAATCTAATTATTCAACTTCTGAAAATAAAGATGTTTAAGCATACCACTCTACTAAAAAATAGCTCAAGACTAAAACACTCATACGACAACTTACCTCATGTAAATTCAATTCTTTTACTTTCTCTTTTAATATAACCTGTAAGACAAAAAGTATGTTCTTATGCCCATTTAAATCTGTAATTTAACTCTTCTGAAAGTGACCAGAAGTGACCTCTGAAGATGGTTCGCTATTCACTTGACCCAGAGAACCCCACAAAATCATGCAAATCAAGAGGCTCAAATCTTTGTGTTCACTTTAAGAACACTCTGGGAAACTGCCCAGGCCATCAAGGTATGCATGTTCGAAAAGCCACCAAGTATCTGAATGATGTCACTTTAAAGCAGCAGCATGTCCCGTTCTGTTGATACGATGGTGGAGTGGGTGGGTGTGCCCAGCAGTGGGGCTGGACACAGGGTCAGTGGCCCAAAAAGAGCGCTGAGTTTTTGCTGCATGTGCTTAAAAATGCAGAGAGTATGCTGAATTAAGGGTTTAGATGTGGATTCTCTGGTCATTGAGCACATCCAGGTGAACAAAAGCTCCCACGATGTGGCGCAGAACTCAGAGAACCCATGGGCGGATTCACCCGCCCATCGGCTCTCCCTGCCACAGGGAGACGGTCCTCACGGAGAAGGAGCAGACTGTTCCTAAACCAGAAGAGGGGGCTGCACAGAAGAAAAAGGCCCCAGAAGAAATTGAAGAAACAAAAGCTTATGGCCCAGAAGTAAATTCAGCATAAAATAAATACTAATAAAAGTAAAAGCAGAAAAAAAAATCTGTAATTAAAAAATTTCTCATTAGCCCTGGCTGGTGTAGCTCAGTGGATTGAGCACAGGCCTGCAAACTAAGGGACTGCAGTTCGATTCCCAGTCAGGGCACATGCCTGGGTTGCAAGCCAGTTCCCAGCCGGGGACTCACGGGAAGCAACCATACATTGGTACTTCTCTCCTTCTCTCCTTCCCTTCCCCTCTAAAGATACATGAATAAAATCTTTAAAAAAATAAAAATAAAAATTTCTCATTATATTTACAAATACTTTTCTTCTTGCATACAGCTAGTTTCCCCTTATAGTCAATACTGGAGAGGGCTCTCATTTACAGTTTGAGACAGAACATTTTATCAACATTCTTTGAACCTGAGCAATGACACAAAATTCTGGAAAGCAATTTAAAAATCTCTTTGACAACAGACTAAACTCTGGGAAAAGACATTAACACACGAGCATCTGGACAAAGTGCTGACGTGGGAGGAGATAAATGAGGCGGACTCCTCACGGTTCAGCAAAACCCAGCACTGCCTGTTGTGACTGACTGACTGGTAATTTATTATTATTTATTCATTTATTAGTTTGAAAAAGATTTTTAATTTATTTATCTTTAGAGGGGGAAGGGAAGGAGAGAGGGAGAGAAACATCAATGTATGGTGGTTGCCTCTCATGTACCCCCTTCCTGGGAACTGGCCTGCAACCCAGGCATGTGCCCTGACTGGGAATTGAACCCGTGACCCTTTGGTTCTCAGGCTGGTGCTCAATCCACTGAGCCACACCAGCCAGGGCTATTATTTTTTTAAAAATCCTCACTTGCAGATATATTTACTGATTTTAGAGAGAGAGGAAGGGAGAGAGGGAGAGAGGAAAACACTGATGTGAGAGAAATAGCAATTAGTTGTTTCCTGTGTACTCCCCAACCAGGACCGAACCAGCCTAGGTATGTGCCCTGCCTGGGAACTGACCTGTGAACTCTGTGTGTGTGTGTGTGTGTGTGTGTGTGTGTGTGTGTGTACAGGATGATGCGACAACCAACAGAGCCACCAAACCAGGGACTATTGATCATTTATAAAAGATTAAAAAGTAAGACGAGTCTTAAATTTAGAAGTTTTGCTCATTATTGTATGTTACTATCCTCAGAAAGCTGTCGCTCTCTCTGGAGTTACGTAGATAGACTTAACATTCCTCCTGGTGCTGCCCCTGACTGGACTTTGTAGGGACTATCAGTTAGAAAGAATACCAGGTGATAAGAGGGTAAATATTTATTTAAATAGAAAAATTCTGAGAGTAAACATATATATATCATTTCAAGTGAAAAAACAGGCAAGTGAAAATTTGAGAAATCTCTACTTTGAGTATCTTATATTGCTAAACCTAAACTAATTTTGAGAGTAAATCACGTTTTCAAAAATCACAACCAAAAGCTATTATCTTGCTACGCAGGGGTGTATTAAATTTCAAATTCAGTATTTTTTAAAGACAATTTTGTTTACCATATGTCTTGTGACTCTGTTAGTTTCATCAGTCAATTTCACCTTTTAAATGACCACCAAGGCCAATTTTATTTTCTAGTTAGTTTTTTCAAATACCTTATGGGTTGTCAAAACCATGACAGAACTGACACAAAAAGATTCATTCATTTAGAAAACTGAAACATTCCACTCTGTGTATGAATCTCACATGAGACCTATGGGGAAGAGTATGGGGTTACCCAGGACAACAGTATGAACATCTAAGGAACTGGCCAAGAGCTCAGATTTCAAAGAGACATGGACAAAAGACAGACAAAAAATGGACAAAAAAGATATGTAATCCTATAATGGTGAAATGGTTCTGTGAATCCTAAAATGGTGAAATGGCTCTGTGTTGGGGACTGCTCTGTGTGGTTTCAGAAGCTATAACCCCAAGTAAAAAGACCTTGGGACCATAAGTCACCAAGGAGACAAAGTTTATCCTCCCGGCAGGGGCGCTGCCTCTGACCCCTTTACTTCACCCTGCTTGGCCCCTGGTAGATGACTGGTTAGCCAATGATGGGTAAGATTCCTCAACAGAGGGACGACCTAAGACAGGCACAGTTGTGAAGGGGCCATCAGGGAAGGAATCAGGAGATTATAGAAAAGGGGTGATGGACTCTCATCCCTTGGCTTTTCAAGAGCCTGAGTTGTCATTCTATCTGTAAAAAGTCTCCTAATCTCTTGGCTGCTTTACTTCCCTCTCCTGACTTAAGCCTGAAACAATGTGGAAGGCAGGTGTGGCCCTGTGCTGGAATGGGCGGTTTCCTGGGGTGATCAGGCCTAAGAAAGAATGCATAAAATCCTGTGAAACCTGCTTTGATAAGAATTCCCTCAATTTAACTGATAAGGGTCCAAGCATAAAATGAGTTTGTTTTCCTCTATCTATCTGACTCTGACTCAGAATAGGATCCCAGAGTTCTTTGAATATTTTCTATTCTTTGATCATTACTGCCTGACAATGATGAGCTTTATGTATATGACCTGTATTCCTATGCAAATTAAACCCGATAAAACCTATGAAAAAACAGGCTCAAGACCCTTCTCCTCTGAGACATTGGCCACCTTTCCTCCCCAAGCAGATCATGCCTAGGTAAACTTACTCTCATCTGTGGTGGATGGGGGTGCTCTGTGGGTGGAGCCCCCCCACAGTTCTGTAACATCACATCAGTGAGGTTGAAGACCCTCTGTGACTTTCTAAATAAACTTTCTTTTACAGGAAAAAATTATATTACTATATCATCTGAACTTTCTATAAATTCAAATAATAAGAAAGAAGAGTACTTAAGATTGATTTATTTTGTACTGCCAACTGGCAAGTGAAATGCTAAAATGAACACAAGTTCTAGTTTAAAATGAGAGGAAATATAAGTTCTCAATTCTAGGGGGTAAAAAACATGATCAAAGCCAATCTGAAGTAAATTTCTTACCTGTTTGTAGGCATAAAATTCTTTGTGTGCTTGATGTCTTAGCCTAGAAGACAAATGAACAATGCAATATTAAGATTTCCAATATAATAATTTTTATATTGATGACAGTCCACTTGTTTCAATATTTAATATTTTTCTTAATTTAAAAACAAGTACATCTAATAATGTACAAAAGTCTTAAGAATTTAACTATATAAAAATACATACACACACATATATACATACTAGTGTAACTACCACCAAGATCAAGATATATATTTCCAGTATCCCTTAAATGATTCCTCCTAATCAACATCCACCCTTAAGAGGTACCCAATATCCTGATTTTCTATCACTGTAGATTAATGATGCTTATTTTTGAGCTTCGCATAAATGGATCATTTGGTATCCAAAAGCTAACTCTTTTGCTTTAGCTTCTTTCAGTCAACATGCCCTCTTTCCTTCCCTTGCTTACTGGCACTGACAGATGTTCCAGACTCATCTTCTATTTTCCATGCCCCAGTTGTGGAATTAATCACTTCTCCCAAAGAGCCTTGATTCACTCTACAGGAGAATAGTTATCTAGAAAGCAAGATCTGGGTGCTAGGTGACTAGCACTCTGTTTTAGGTACTGGAGCTCTGTAACAAGTCTTGGGGTCTGGTAGTATAAGTACTCAAGCTTTGTTCTTAACTATAAATTGCATGACCTCATCAATTTCTATGAAAAATCTGTTGGGATTTTGACTGAGATTGTGTGGAATTTATAGATCAGTTGGGGAAGAACAGACATCTTTGCAAGACTGAGTTTCCAACCTATGCACATAGTATATTCCTCTATTAGATCTTAATTTCTGTCTATATATTTCTAGGTAGAACACTTTACACATCTTTCATTAGATTTATTCCTAGGAATCTGGTAATTTTTAATGTACTATAAATGATATTTTTTTAATTTTCTAATTCTTTGTTGGTACTATATAAAAAAGATATTGTACATCCATCTTGTATCTAGTGACTTGTTAAGTTCTTATTAATTTTAAATAGTTTATCTGTAGAATCTTTTGGATTTTTAAATATATACAATCATTCTGTCTACAAATAGGTGTTAAACTCTGCCTTTATAATCTCTATGTATTTTATTTCTTTATACTATATTTCATTTCTTTTATTCCTCTTTTTGTTCTGCATTGGCTAAGAACTTTAACATTGTTGCCCTGGCTGGTGTGGCTCAGTGGACTGAACACTGGCTTATGAACCAAAGGGTCACCGGTTCCATTCCCAGTCGGGGCACATGCCTGGGTTTTAGGCCAGTCCCCAGTAGGTGGCCCCTGAGGGGCAACCACACATTGATGTTTCTCTCCCTCTCTTTCTCCATCTTTTCTCCTCTGTCTAAGACTTCACCATTTTGTGCCTGGGTAAGTAGAGGGCTCTGGGAGGGGACAATACTGCTGCCTGGCTTCTGGAGGTTTTCCTGGCACTTGTCCCATTTCCAGTCACTCCACCCACTTCCTGTATGTGACTGGCTGTGCATACATTCTAAGTCTGTGCAGGTCCTTTCAGCTGAGTCTCCTGAAAATCCAGCAGTTTCTTCTGCCTCCCCAAACCCTGCTGGTTTTTATAGCCAGAAGTTATGGGGATTTATCTTCCCAGTGCTGGGCTGGGTGACCTGGCCTGGGGCTGGGATCACTTGTTCCCAAGGTATCCCTCCCAATTTTCATCCGCCATATGCGAATGTGAGATAGTCTGTTCTGCCTCTCTGTGCCACACCAGGTCTTTCGAACCTGTCTTTGACTCTACCCCTCCTACCCATCTGACTCAATGGCTTCTTTAAATCCTTGGTTGTTGGATTTCCATACAGCTCAATTTTCTAACGGTTCTGGGTGTTACTTGTTTTGAGATCTATTTATAATTCTATGGTTGCACGAGGAGATGATACATATCTCCTACCACTCTATCTTGACCAGAAGTCTCAAATGCTTCCTCCTCCCCTTTTTACTATTAATTAGGTATATTGTATTGATACCTTAATCCCTGGAATGAAGCCCACTTGGTTTTAATGTACTACCTTTTAATTTTTTGCACATTCCTGAATTTGACCAATATTTTGTTTATGAGAGACCCAAGTCTATAATTTCCTTTCTTGTAATGTCCTTGTGAGGTTTTGTATTATTTCAATCAAAATGATGCTGGCTTCATTATATGAGTTGAGAAGTATTCTGTTCTCTGGAAGGGTCATTTAAGGATGGTACTTTTTCTTAAATGTTTGAAGGAATTCACTGGTGAGGTTACCTGGCTTACAGTCTCTGTGGGAACGCTTTGATAATACATTTCATTTTTTACTATATATTTATTAATATTTCATATTTCAGGCTTTTACTTTATTTTAAAAAATTTCTGTTGTTTTATTTTTAAATATTTTATTTATTTTAGAGAGGGGAAGGGAGGAGGAAAAGAGAAGGCGAGAAACATCAGTGTGTGGTTGCCTCTCCAGTGCTCCCTACTGGGGAGCTGGCCCACAACCCAGGCATGTACCCTGACTGGGAATTGAACTGGCGACCCTTTGGGTCACAGTGTGGCACTCAATCTACTGAGCCAGAGCAGCCAGGGCTTGTTTTCAGGTTTTTAATCCTTTAATAAAATTTTTAATATTTCTTTATTTTCATTCTCATAACTTACAATCGAACATTTTAAAATGTACAATTCAGTGGTGTTTAGTGTGGTCACAATGTTGTGTAACCACTGGCTCTCTCTAGTTCAAAACTTTCATCACCCTCCAAAAACATGTGGTCTCACTAAGCAGTCACTCCCAAGTGCCCTCTTCTCTGGGAAACCTATAATCTGCTCTGTCTCTATGGATTTGCTTACTACGGATAATATGCAAAATACATATATAAAAGGAATCCTGCAATATGTGACCTTTTGTGTCTGGTTTTTTATTTAATATAATGTTTTTGAGGCTCATCCTAACTGTAGCAGGTTATCAGTTATTCACTCCTTTTAATGGCTGAATATACTGTATTTTTGAGACCATAAGACACATGTGGCTTTTAGAGGAAAATAGGGAAAAAATTTTTGAAGCAAACAATGTGGTAAAATATTTAATATCATAAATAAATAATATTTGACTAATGTAAATGTAAACAGAACTCAACGGCAGCATTAACCACCATTATTCCTTCCAAATTTGGCGGGGTGGGGGAGTTTGGTAGGGAGAGCAGGGTGCGTCTTATAGTCCGAAAAATCGGGTATACGTGTAATTAAATTTGGTTATTTTTCTTTTGTTAACCTGTCCCATGTCAGTCTGATTATTAGACTAGCCGAAAGAACCTAGAAGGGGTAAGGATATCTTCTGTCTCCCCCACAATCTTACAAAAAATTTTAACCTAAAGGCAGAAAGTTAATTTATTATTGATTGTTTAACATACTCTGAAGTAACATAGAATGAAAATTGATTACCGGATCAAGTAGCAACAGAAGAGTAAACTGAGGATGAAGACAAATATAGCAGTGCCAAATACCACAATATATATGTTGAGAGGCAGATTCTGGAATCCAATGTTAGGCATCCTGAAGTTGTAATGCGGGAAATCTGAGCTCATGGATGAACTGTGGGGGGAAAAAGAATAAAAAATTAGGTTGTAAAGGCTAAGGACCAAGATAGCATCATCTTTGTACATTACAGAATTCCCTTCTTATCTCTGGGAAATACGTTCCAAGACCCTCAGTGGACTACCACAGAGTAACAAACCCTATATACATTATGTCTTTTTCCTGTATGTGCATACCTATGATAAAGTTTAATTTATAAATAAGGCACAGTAAGAGATTAAAAGTTATGTGAATGTGGTCTTTCCCTCTCTCTCAAAAGATTTTATTGTTCTGTAGGTACACCGTGGGTATGCTGGACAAAGGGAGGGTTCATGTCCAGGTGTGGATGGTGAGAGGTTTCCTCACACTCCTTAGAACAACACTCGATTTAAAACTTATGAATTGTTTGTTTCTGGTATTGTCCATAAATATTAATGTCAAGGGAAATGTGAAGATATGTGGGAAAATAGGGTATAAATTGTGTGTGTGTGTGTGTGTGTGTGTGTGTGTGTGTGTGTAATGATTCTTGTCCACAATTTCTGGCTGATTGCTCTAGAAACCCTTAGTTTCTGGGGAGTGAAATGGGTATCTCTTGTTATGTTAATGTGGCAAGTTCTGAAAACAATATAAGGATGGACAGCTCACTGGTCCTTTTTTGGAGAGCTTCCAGGCCAGTGAACACACGGAGGTGCTGGGAGAGTGATGTGCCTGGAGAGGGCATGGAAACTCCAAGTATCTTCAAACAAACCTTGTCCTGTGCACCTCTTCCATCTGGCTGTTCCTGAGTTATATCTTTTTGTAATAAACCAATGAACTAATAAGTAAAATGTTTCTTTGAGTTCTGTGAGCCATTCTAGCAAATAATTGAAACCAAGGAGGGGATTGTGGGAATGACCGACTTAGAGCCAGTTCATCAGAAGTATAGTTCAGGATCTGGACTTGCGATTGGCGTTATGAGCTGGAGGGGGCATTGGAGCCTCCATCCTCTACTGGTTGGTCAGAAGCACAGGTAAGAGAACAGGCTTGAGTCTGGTGTCTTAAGTGTACGCATGTGTGTGCAGTCTTGATAGAGTCTTGTAGGACTGAGCCATTAACCTGTGGACTCTGATGCTATCTCTGGGCAGAGAGTGTCAGGATTTAGTTAAATTGTTGGACATCCTGCTAGGGTCCAAAAGCTCCACCCTGTGTTGGAACTGGGTCCAGTAACCCTTTCAATCCCTTAGAAATATCCTTCACCACACAAATTAGATTTGGTAAAATAACTCTCAGTTTAGGAAATAAGAGATTTACACATCCATACTGAGAGGACTAAGGATGGAGAAATGTTCAAACAGACAGAAAGTGGTGTGGTGGGGAAAGCAGCAAGTCTGCACTCGGCAATTCTGGATGTTGTTCCCAGAATGTCACAAGCTAGATGTCAATACTTGACCCGTTTACACCTCAATTTTCTCATCTCATGTAAGGCTTCAATGTGCGCATGTGTGTGTGTGCATTTCAGTGGGGGCTGTGGGGAAGGAAGACATTAGAGGAAAAGTAGTAAATAACATAGAAGAAGCCTTGACAAACATAAGTCTCTGGAAAGGATTCTATCAACCCAGTGCTCCTTTCTCAGGGAGCTCCTCTGCACACAATGCCAGGTTTTGTGTCAAGTGGCCGCCCAGACGCAGAACCTGGAAACCTATCTTTGCCTAAGGCAGCCATCGCGCCAGGCCAGCTGGGAGTGAGCTACTAGTGTGAGAATGCGGCCCCTGCATGGGTCCTTGCACTGGGTGGCACCAGCAAGGAACTCTTGGGGAATTCTGAACAGAGACACTGACGTGCAGAGTATTAGAGGTAGTGCTGTCATAACAGGGAAGGGACACCTTCTTCAGTGCTCTTGGGAGCTGACTGCTGATAATTCCCTTTGAGTTGTCCCTTCTTGGCAGGGCCTTCCAACCCATTACTAGAGAGGTGGGGGCTGGCAGAGGATACTCTGATGCAGAATACAGTTTAGGACTGTTTTGTCTTTCATTCACTGAATTGCTTAGCTATGAATGATATGTTGGATCAACAGCCTAATTAGATGGTGTATTATTCCAAAATATTAATCCTGGTCTAGTGATACATTAGTTTTATGATATTTTCATCATACCTTTTTAGCATGAGTATTAATAACCTTTTAAAATAAGATAATATTTAAAAGGGGAGACTATCATCCTAGTAATAAGCATTCTTTGCCTTTTAATATTACAAATGTGAAAGGTATTTAGTAACTTTGTTGGAGTGAAGAGGAGAAAGAACATACATGCACTGCTGGATCTTACTTTGCATTTCTGACTCCAATTACATGAAAATCTTCTCACCCTTTGTATAATGAATAGTTCCTGAAATTTCTAAATTCCAAACCATCTAATCAGTTTAATTTAAAGAAAAGTAACAGAAGATGGATATTTTATTGGCAGCAGGATTTCTCACCAAGATACAAAAGGGAAAGGGTACCTGAGAATTTGGCTCCAAAGAGAACCTGTAATTTAATACATTTTTATCATATCCTGCCTTCTACTTTCTTTGGGTTTAGTTTGCTCTTCTTTTTCTAGCTTCTTTATAGTGGAAGTGTAGGTTATTGATTTGAGATTTTGTACTCTTTTCTAATACAGACATTTATAGCCACAAATTTCTCTCTAACCTCTGCTTTAACTATGTCCTATTATTCTTTTTGTAAGCATCAATTATCTAATTTTCTAAGCAACAATCAACAAAATAACTTATTAAGTAAATTTCTTAAGTCAAGTAGCAAATGATTATTACAAAAGTGGTACTTCTGAATATAACTTAGGAAATTTAGGTTTATCACAACTTCTTAAGAGAATCTTAAAACCAGGTGAAATTCATATTACAATGAACTATTTTATTTATTTGTATTTTTTTACAATGAACTATTTTAAAGTGAGCAATTTAAAGGCATTTAGTGCATTCACAACATTGTGCAACCACCTCTATCTAAATGCAAAATATTTAATCACTCTAAATTTAATAAAACCCTGTACCATGAAACAGTGACTCCCTATGCCCTTCCCTCTCTGCACACCCAGCAATCACCAAAACTCCTTTCTGTTTCTATGGATTTACTTACTCTGGATATTTCATATATATGGGATCAAACATATGACTTAACTGCTTTAGAGGGCGAGAGGAAGAAGAGAGAGAAACATTGATTTATTTTTCCACTTATTGATTCACTTATGCCCTTATTTATGCCCTGACTGGGGATTGAACCTGCAGCCTTAGTGTATTGGGATGACGCTTAAATAACTGAGTTACTCAACCAGATATATGACTTTTATCTGGCTTCTTTCACTTAGCATGTTTCTGAGGTTCATATTCATGCTGTAGTATATATATCAGTACTTAATTTCTTTTTGTGGTTGAATAATATTCTATTATATGTATATCCCATGATTTGTTTATCCATTCATCCCTTGATGAACATTTGGGTTCAAGGATTTGCTTAGGTATCTGTTTTTAATTGTTTTCTTTTGGGTATATTCCTAAAAGTAGATTGCTGGATCATATGATAATTCTATGTTTACTTTCTGAGGAATCACCAAACTGTTTTCCACAGTGGCTATATACCATAGTACATTCCTATCAGCAATGTAAGAGGATTCAAATTCCTTCATATCCTCACTAACACTTGTTTATTTCTGTGCTTTTTATTTTTTAAATATCCATCCTCATGGGTGTGAAGTGCCATTTCATTGTGACTTTAATTTGCATTTCTCCAATGACTAATGGTGTAGAGCATTCTTTCATGTGCTTATTTCATTTGTGTATCTTTGTAGAAATGGCTATTTAAGTACTATGCCTATTCTAAAGCTGAACTTTTTTTTAAGTTGTAAAGGTTCTTTGTGTATTCTGGATACTAAACCCTTATTAAATATATGATTTACAAATATTTTCTCCCACTTTGCAGTTTGCCTTTTCACTTTCTTGATGTCCCTTGATGCACAAAAAATTGTAATTCTGATAAAGTCTAATTTCTCTCTTTCTTTTGTGGCTTATGCCTTTTGTGTCATTTCTAAGGTCATGTAGATTCACCTCTATGTTTTCTTTTAAGAGTTTTCGCTCTTCTATTTAGGTAATTGGTGTATTTTTTTCAGTTAATTTTTGTATAGGATATGATGGAGAGGTCCAGCTTTATTCTTTTGCATGTGAATCTCCAGTTGTCCAGCACCATTTTCTGGATGATTCTTTCCCCATTCAATAGTCTTTGCACTCATCGATAATCAATTGATCATAGATGTCTTGGGTTTGTTTCTGGACTCTCAAATCTACTCCATGGATCTGTATGTCTATCTTTATGCCAGACCACAGTTTCGATGACTTTAGCCTTGTAGTAAGTTTAGAAACTGGAAAGAATGAAATCTTCCCACTCTGTCCCCCGCCCTGCCCAAATTGTTTTGGCTATTTGGGGCCTCCTGCAAATCCCTAAGAATTTGAGGACTGGCTTTTCTATTTCTGCAAAAAGATCATCGGAACTGGGATTGGGGTTGCACTGAATCTGCAGATTGCACTGGGCAGTCACGCCATTATTGTTGTTTGCTGTCTGTATTTTCATTTCCATCCAGTCAAAATGTTTTCTAATTTTCCTTGTATTTCTTCCTTAACCTATGGACTCCTTAAGTAGTATAAAGTTTAATTTCCAAATATTTATGGATTTCCCAAATTCCCTTTTGGTGATATCTAATTTAATCCCATCAAGTTAGGTTACAATTCTTTTAAATTTATTGAGACTTGTTTTATGACCTAGCACAGGGATTGGCAAACTCCTCACCGCTCACTTGTTTCTGTAAATAAAATTTAGTGGAACACGTCCACGTCCACTTGTCAATGTGTCATCTATGGCTGCTTTTGAGTTAAAATTGCAGAGTCGAATAGCTGTGACAGAGACCGTTATAGGCAACAGACCTAAAAGATTTACTATAGAGCCCTTTAAGAAACTTTTTATAACCCCCTGGCCTACATACATAGTCTATCTT